CCATGAACTTGCATTGTCGTCGTCTGCACGATCTCTGTGTGGGACTATCGAGGCTGTAGCTGCGTGCTGAGGTATCTCCACAAGTGCAGAAGGATTGAAAAAGGTGGATAGTGGCAAGTCTGATAGATAGATAGTGTTGACATGGGGCGCGTATTAACGTCCATACAAAAGTACAATTGAACGAGGACTGCCACTACTATATACTCCGTGAGGTCGTACCGCTCACCGTCTCTTTGTAAAACGCTGCATAATCTGGGGAAAGACCATAACAGATGCGACGTCATTGCCAGGTTTTGGCTGAAACCGGTGGAGTCATGTCCGTCTGACTCGTCGAGCGAGAGGACGTCGACACGACAGAGCCCACGGGGCGCAACAGGTGGTCCGTCGCCTCCGCGTCTGAAAGACTCGAGCCGTGCTGGCGGAACGCCGGCCGCGTCCCGAACTTTTCGTTGGACCCCTTCGCAGAGGAGGGCGTTTTGGGGAGGTCTTCCCAGTAGTCCGGGAAGGCGACGGGGTGCACGGGGTCGTATTGCCCTCGCGAGTGGAAGCGGTGGCGGCGGCGGCGGTGGTAGGTGATGCCGACGAGGGCGACCATGAACACCGCGAACGAGATGACGGAGGCGATGATGATGTACTGGATGTGTGTTCTGCGGGTTTCGAGGGGTCCTGTGGAGATGGTGGCGTTGGCGGATGCGGCGAGGCTTGCGTCGCTGGAGAAAGAGGTCACATTAGCAGAGATATTATCACATGCGAGGCTGGTGGACTGACGTAGAGTAGATGGCGTAGTCGAGAAGAACGAGTGACGGACGCGAGTCCCCAGGCTTCCCGTTTTGCACGGAAAACTGGTGTGATCCATTGGGCATTGAAGAATTTGCATAAAGTAAGAAGTCGTAAAGAAATATTGGCTGCCCGGATGGACTCCGCGTAAATGTGCCGACCAAATCCCCATCCATGAAGTAAGAGTAGTTTGCGATGCTGCTGATCGTATCGTTAAAGTCGGATAGGACGCCGTAAAGGTAGAATGCAGTTCCTGCAACAGAAGTAGCGATATGAATGAGCAGAGAAGGGTTGTCATGCGCTGGCCGAGACATACCCACAAAGTCAATCTGCACGTGCTGTAGACTGTCCTGGTATGTGGCATCGTGCCATGTTTTGTTGTGCAGAAGCGTTGCGTCCAGCTTCGCTGAACATGCCGTGCAGGTGGGTCCAAAATCCCACTGATCCGCCGGCATGTAAGTCCAGGTTGCACCACTCACAGGGTCAAGGCCGCCATCGTCCCATGTTACATTGACCGAGCCACCCGCAGCAGTGAGAGAAAGCCAGGACAAAACCAGCAGTGGCACAAAGCGAGCCATGATCAGCAGAGCAGCGCGCTCGAACCTGCGAGCAGGGGGAAAGTTGATGAGTGTAGCGGTGAGAGAGGCACGGCACCTTCACGTGGCTGCACTGGGTAGGAGGGTTTCGCCCCTGCAGCCACTCCACAGTTCGCTTGAGTCAGTGATCGTCGCCTGAGGTGGACAGCGGCTGGACCGTCGAGACTAGGCACCGCAATGAGTATCTCAGGGCGGTCTGTGATTGGTGGGCACTGCGGGTTTCAGCCGATCTATGGCCTTGAGACCGTCAAGGACGGTAATTAACCAAGGCGTCTGCCCCTTGGCAAAATTCGAGGTTAGTCTGACAACTACTCACCACATCGTGTTGTCACCCGCGACCCTGCGTTGCAAAGTTACCGGCGGCGACGCAGGTCTGCCGAGTTGGTAGTGCAACGACTGAACCGCACGCCGTAACGGCCGCATCAGCCGGCTGTCAATGTCCTCTAGCTTGTGCCTTGCGGCCCCTACTGTGATCGTAGGTTATTCAGGTAGTACGTCGTACAGCCACTGTGAACGCTAGGCATGTGCAGGCTTAGGAGTCGAAGAGTTCGTTCGCAGCCACGGCTGTCGGTATCAAGGCCCAAGAAGGCAGCGTCGGTGTCGTGGTACACGTGGCCGCCACCACACTTCGTTGGTCGGCACCCGTAGACAGTGCCGGTAGAAGAGCGATAGCTTCGAGGTCGTGTAGTGCATAGAAATGCGAATTACGAACGACATGAGCAGTCCCGGAGTCCATACAATTAGGGCAAGAAGTCCTGTCATATTATTTCGTTGGGTCATGGATTCAAGGGCACGGTACGAGACCACCGACTTACCAACAGCTTATATCCACATTACCACACGACATATCCTCCAAGCAGCTACGAACGTTTAGGCAGGAAACATGATTAGAAAATGGTTGGAGACTTACAAGCTATCGCATACAACAACGCGCAGCAAGACACTTACAGCTTGACGTCATTTATACTCTTCAGACTATCCCTCAGCTCCCCAGAGATATCCTCATAGGACGGCGGCATCTCTGACGACCCCGACGGCGTCCTGAAGACCCTCCTGTTCCGCGCCACATACGCCGCACCCTCCGCGATCGGGCGCAGTGGCAGCGGGCGCGCCGTCCGCGACGGCCCCGGCGCGTCTTCCGGGGCGAATGATGGCTCGGGGGACGGCGCCCACGAGTGCGACTCTGCAGACGACGGCGCGGGCGTCGGCATCTCGGGCACGGTGGGAAGCCCGAAGGCGGCCTCCTCGCTGCCCTCGAAGGGTTCCGGCGTGCGCGCGGCGTAGGGGTGGCGTGTGCGCGCTGCGGACTCGGCCGCGTAGCTCGACATCGGCTCGGGCGCGGCGTACTCGCGCGTGCTCCCCTGCGAGTAGTCGGACGCGCCACTGCGCGCGCTGGTGGTCGTCACTGCCGAGCTAGTCGTGAGCCCCCGCGCGCGCCCGATCGTGCCCTTTGCGGAGGACCTGCCCACAGATCGGGCGGGGTCACTGGAGTAGAGTGTGGACGTGAGCGCGGTTGTGTCACCGTGCCCTTGGCTGGACGGCGTGGATGCCGCCGCGTTGGCCTTCCAGGCGTCCCCAGTCCAACCGCTTGACCCTGGGTTTTCATGAATGCCCCGTTCCGGCGGCGGGGCGTAGACGTAGCGACTTCTACGACGGCGGCACCAGAGCACAGAAACTATGATAGCGATGAGCACAACCGCGCCGCCGGATACAGCAGAGGCGATGATGACGGTACGAGTCTTGCTGGATATGGAATGCGAAGATGCAGCGGCGAAAGATGGGTTCCTAGAATCTGCGGAGGACGAAGGAAGTGCGAAGCTTGTGTTTGCCCCTTCTACATTCGCTGATGGAAAGGTTGTGGCTCCTGCATCCGCGTTCGATGTTCCCGGGATCAAAGACGTGGGCGTAGTGATATGAGACGGTGAAGAAAAAGCGGTGCTGCCGGTGCTGCTAGGTAGTATGGAGGGCGGGGCTGATGAGGGAGCCACTACCGGAGGAGGAAAGACGGTAGATTGGACAGCGGTGGGCACCGATGACGGCAATGAAGGGGTAGATACTTGCCGCGATGGCGACGGAGAAGATGGAGGTGAAGGCGGGGGGATCGGTGTTGAAGGTGGCGGCGATATTCCATCATCATGACTATGTATGTCAGGGAGTAGTCTTCTCTAGTGGTGCGAAATAAGACTTACGTGTAGACGATATAATCCAGAAGCACCAGACTCTTTGCTCCCCCGACGCGGCCATTCTGCAGAGTGAATGTATGTGAACTTGAGGAAAGGTCCGTGCTAGAGTACACAAGAACATTATAGTCGTATGTTGTTTGGTTCGTGGGAGCGAGAGAGAATGATCCCACTGTGTTGCCGTCGATGGAGAAGGTCATATCTGTATTCCCGTCGGGTGAGGTGGAGGTATGAGCAATGATACAGTAGACATAAATGGCAACTCCTGCAATAAACATCATTGGCATGCAACATCGATTGTCCTATGGCGATGACTCACCTTGGAACTCCAAAGTCGCAAAATTGAGCCCGTCCTCGCCAGCACCTGCTAGATGCGTTGAGTCGTGCCACGTCCCGTCGAACGTATTCTCAGGATCAGGATGGGCGGTGCATCCGTCGCAGTGTAAACCATCATTCCAAACGCCGGTAGGAGTATACTGTATAACCGATACGCCGTTCGTCTGGGAGTCGTCTACGGTCACATTGACGAGTGTTGCGGAGACCAGCGAGGAGAAGGCTTTTAGGGAAAGGACAGTGAGAAAGAGGGTGAAGAGGGGAAACATGGCAGGTAATAAGATACAGAAAAGGCGGCACTTCTCACAACGAGGTGGTCGGAGTGAGAAAGAAGAAATGTGAGCAGCGACCCGGAAACGAGCACTCGAGAGCACGATGACGGGGGAGTGAAGAAAGCAAGTGTGAGAATCCCTGGGCTAATCCTCGACCTTGACAACAGATAGGACCATTGGCAGATCTCGACGTACCAACAGTGTCAAAGGCGGATGCGGCTGAACCGAGTTAACAGCTTTGCATCTACCACGCTGGGTCTCGGAACATTTAGCTCGAGGGGCGGTGATGCTAAATGGATATTATGAAAGTCTGTGAGAGATTGACAGCTGTGCATGCAAAGCAATGGCGAGTCCACCGTCGGGACAAACCTAAGAGAGAGGTGGTCACGGATGAGTATGAGAACAGTGTCCGAGAATAGTGAATTCGTACCGGATTACATTAACTGGTTCGCTGAGTAGTGCTAGTGAGGGGTCATGCTGGTCTTGTACATACCTTCCGCAGGTACCAGATGGTTGATTAACAAGAATTGGATGGCAGTTGCCACCTGTCGAATCATGGGCAGAGTTCGGAGCTGCATCGCCGCCAAGACGCGCACTCCAAGTAAAGACTTCACTGCTTGTACTGCAGATGGAATGCGTTATAAATTTATTATCTAGTCCCTGAAATTGATCAATGGATTATTGTGCAGCCTGCGCCATGGGTGAAACGTGGGGTAAAGATTGGGCGAAATAAAATTGCAAAAACAAAATATAGGCGCTACCAGGGTTCGAACCTGGGTTCCAGGAAAGTTGTAACGTCAAAATCCTGAGTGATAACCACTACACTATAGNAAACAAAATATAGGCGCTACCAGGGTTCGAACCTGGGTTCCAGGAAAGTTGTAACGTCAAAATCCTGAGTGATAACCACTACACTATAGTGCCAGGTTTGTTTTACTTTGACGTCCATCATTGACTATCCTACAAGTCTTTGCATCAATCGAGGTTTTGTCCTCGTCACACTCTAGCATTATACGAAACTGCCGAGTGCCTATGGCAAATGTCGAGACAAGTTTTGTTGATGTTGTGGTCCAATATCTACAGTCTTGAGGCAAGATTGGAGTGAGGAGCGGTGCATGACCTGCGCTAGGAGGGGAGAGCTCCACGAAGCCCACCAAGACGTCATGCAGGTCCTCGTTGGTCAAAGCCCTATATACCACACACGTTCTCCCAGCAGATACTATACCCTCCTCTTCCAATAGTCACCAAGCATGTTCCGTACCACAGTCTCATCCTCATCGCGCGTTGTCCTCGCGTCGTCCTCCAGGACATTCCACACAACTCGAATCGCAGCTCAGATTATTCCACAGAAGGCCAAGGAGGTCGCCAACGATGTGTGTGTTTATTAGTCGAGATGATGGCGCTAGTTCTGACCTGAGACGTAGGTCAATCTGAAAGTCGGCAAGAAGCTGGCTGGTGCAATCGAGACCGGTGAAAAGATCACCGAGACGACCAAAGACACTCTAGGTACGCAACTAGAGCAGCCTGTACGCGCCGAGAGCACATCTGATGCTCGGGACAGGCGGCAGCAGCGCAGCAGAAGTCGCAGACAAGGTCAGCAAGGCGGTCGGCCGGGGCGTTGCGTCCTCGATTGAGAAGGGCGAGCAGGTCACCGAGGCCACCAAAGAGACGATAGGTGCGGTAGCGTGCTGTCAAGCAGGGCGAGACACTGACGCGGAGAGCAGGATCGGCGACAGCCAAGTCGAAGGAGACCGCGGACATCGCTGGACAAAAGGCCAACCAGGTAAGCGGAGTTACACGCCACTGGCCCCGGGGTGGATTTGACTGATGTGCTTTGGAGGCTGCAGCCGGTGTGCGAGAGGGCAAGGAGGACTTCAAGGCAGACGTGAAGAAGCAGGTGAGGAAGTAATCAGTGGCCTTTTGTCGTCGACTAGTGTATCCGTATGAATTCTCAAAGTCCTGTATACAAGAGTAGCATACCTCGACTAATGCATAGTCTGAACACGGCGGTCGAGGTGAGAACATATCGCCGGAACGAGCGTCCGAGAGCGCCCCGCGTAATGCCGACTTTGTCAGGCGAGTAAGAATCGTTCGACTGCTAACAATTATTTAGCGGTTCGTTGTTGCGCTTTCTTGCTCGCAACTTCCAAGACCGCCGTCCCGCAGTTGTCGTCGACGCCCGACACAGCGACCACCCCCTCGCGCCATGGCGTCCTCCAAAGCCTCCTACCCTTCCGTGCTCTCCGACGCCTCCACCGATCGCGTCTCTGCCCCCGTCTTCCCCAGCCTCCTTCCGTCCGGCTCCTGGCTCTACACGACCGCCGCCATCGTCCTATCGCTCCTCGTCCTGGAGCAGACCGTCTACAGGTACAAGAAGCGTCATCTCCCGGGTGCGCAATGGACTATCCCGCTTATCGGCAAGTTCGCGGACTCGCTGCATCCCACCATGGAGGGATATATGAAGCAGTGGGCCTCTGGTCCCCTCAGCGCCATTAGCGTGTTCAATGTGTATGTGTCCGAGCGCGGCGCGACTTTCTAAAGCCTGCAAAGTTTAAACTAACTCGGGCGCGTCGCCAGGTTCATCGTCATGGCGTCTACCAACGAGTTTTCGAGGAAGATCCTCAATTCGCCTACCTATGCCGAGCCCTTCCTGGTCAACTCAGCGAAGCAGATCATGCTTTCTAACAATTGGTGCGTACATCATGTTGCCCACTCTAGCATGGCGGTCTTATCAGGACAACGCGTAGGGTTTTCCTTACTGGTAAAGAGCATGTCGAGTACCGTCGTGGTTTGAACTTGCTCTTCACGCGCAAGGCACTCGGGTACGCCTAAACTGGCTCTTCACGTCTTACATTCGTCTGATCAGAATTTGCCAGCCTGTATGTCGGCATTCAGGATTCGCTCTCCCGAAAGCACTTCGCCAAGTGGCTCACGACCGCAGCCTCCACCGACAAGGCTCAGCCCATCATGATGACTGCTCGCGAGCTGAACATGGAGACGTCTCTCCGCGTGTTCTGCGGCCAGCACATCCCCGACCACGCGGCCAAGGAGATTTCGGACAAGTACTGGATGATCACCCTGGCGCTCGAGCTCGTCAACTTCCCGCTCGCGCTGCCCGGCACGAAGGTGTACAATGCGATCCAGGCGCGGAAGGTCGCGATGAAATGGCTCGAACTCGCGGCCCGCGCGAGCAAGGAGAGCGTCGCAGCAGGCAACCAGCCGGAGTGCATGCTCGAGGAGTGGGTTGCCATCCTGTCCGACCCGGCGTACAAGGGTCGGCGCGAGTTTAGCGACCACGAGATGGCGATGGTCGTATTCTCGTTCCTGTTCGCGAGCCAGGATGCGATGAGCAGCGGCCTGATCTACGGCTTCCAACACCTTGCGGACCACCCCGAGGTGCTGCACAAGATCCGCGAGGAGCAGGAGCGCGTGCGCGGTGGCGACTACGAGAAGCCCCTCACACTCGAGATGATGGACGAGATGCCGTATCTCCGCGCGATGGTCAAGGAGACCCTCCGCGTGAAGCCTCCGGTCACCATGGTGCCGTACAAGACCACCAAGGCTTTCCCCATCGCCGACGACTACACCGTACCATCCGGCACGATGGTCATCCCGTCATTCTACAACTCCCTCCACGACGCTGAGGCCTTCCCCGACCCCGAGGCGTTCACTCCTGAGCGGTGGCTTGACCCAGCAAGCCCCGCGAATACGAACCCGCGCAACTACCTCGTCTTCGGCAGTGGCCCGCACAAGTGCATAGGCTTGGAGTATGCGATGATGAACATCGGTCTCGTCCTCGCAAATGCCAGTGTATTGATGGAGTGGGAGCACGAGATCACTGACAAGAGCGAGAAGGTGCAGATTATCGCGACACTCTTCCCCCAGGACGGCTGCTTGCTCAAGTTCAAGCCGAGGGAGAGGGCATAAAACTCTCCATTTTTTATTATTCTGTCGACTGGCGGAATGCACTTGTTTATCTGGTATTACTTAGAACATACCATCCCCGTATTGATAGTAATGCCAACTCTTTTCATTGAATTGCATGTTGTAACTAACGCAAAAGGCGACCTAGAATGACAGTTCCCAACCCCCAAGGTGCATGCATCATTTCAACTCACTACGGACTGAAGAACAACAGAAAATATTCACCTTTTGTTGCGCGCTACGAAGGTGCGAGACCGACCACGATGTAGTTCATGTTGAATATAGTGTCGGGACAGCCTGAGGACACGGAGCGTCCACCCTGCGCGACATACAGCCGCGTCGCGCCGTTCCACAGCTCCATCGAAGGCGTGCCCGCGACCAGCGCGTCTTGGCCCGAGTTCAGCCCCGCCGCTAGCCCGGTGTGCTCGAACGTCTGCGCGCCGTTCGACACCTTGAGCACGTACCCCGCCGTGTTTGTCCCGGGGTTGATCACCAGCGCCCAGTTGATGGCGTCCTGCCCGAGCTGCCAGCCCTCCGGGTGGTCCCCGCTCGGGCACACGGAGCTCTGCAGGATCGACTTGTACCACATCACGCCGGCCGCGGAGCCGCTGCTGCCCGCGGGCACGGCCATGCTCCCGGGACCGACGCCCGCGAGATACGCATTTGCGAAGGAGTGGATGAGCGGCCGCCAGCCGGCGTGCGACCACAGGGGGGAGGAGTTGACGTAGAGCGCAGGTGCGGCGTCCGTGTTTGACTCGGGCCAGATGTCGCCGACGTAGTGGCTCTCTGGGCCGTCGTTCTGGGTGGGAAATTAGCAATGTGGTAGGTGCCTAGTGAAGGACGTACCCATGTGAGGACCATGACGTAGTCTGGTTGGGGGGACATATTCAGGATGTTCCTGATGCGATTTGCTAGGGTGAGCTCGCCCGGGCGATATATATCGGCTCCGTACTACGTAGGCCGCATATCAGAATGTTTGTATTCTTTGAAGTCAAACATTCCGTGATACGTACAGCGTTTTTGTATTGTAGCGTACTCACACCTGCATAACAATGAGTCCTCGACCAAGAAAGGGTTGAAGATAGCCTTACCCATCATGTACGCCTTTCCGTGAGCTTGTGCTCCAGCAAACACGGTTTCATCAGCTTCGATTGTACCAGGTCCAGCGGATCCCAGAGAACCGGCGCTGATAGCTTCCCAGTTGGACTCCCAGCTGAAAATGCAGTCGACAGTGTCGCCCCAGTATGCCCTGCCAGAGGCGAATCAGAGCTGTATTCTGGCCAACTGAACAGACAGAGCAACATACCACCAGCCGGGATCAGCTGTATAGTAGTGTAAGGGATCCGTCCCCAGTGGGAATCGAACCCGCGGCCTCGCGGAGGCGCGGGCGCTCGTATTGATGGGAC